TATTTTCTTCAGCAGCTGCTGATTCTGGTTGCAGAATAGCCGATGCCGGGCTATCCTCAGGACAGATGATTGGTAGATTGCTTGCGGAGTCCATCTCTGCCTTTGGACCTTGTGAAGGATGGGAAGCCAGACTACCAACAAAACCAACCACCTGAACAGAACCTAACTAATTTTCACACCCAACAACCTTGTTAGTTTTGAGACATTTAACATATAGGAAATCGCATGTTGGGATGCAATGCACCTAACAGTTGAACGCTTCTACCATGTGTTTGAACGGTTACGTGTTTCATCCCGGCCTTTAAATATTCCTTTCCATTCTCTACCTCTATCATTTCCATTTTTGTCTCTCCCTCTTCTTTTTTTTTTTTTTTTTTTTTGGAATTTTTCATATCTCGATTTCTTTTCTTTTCTTTTTTGTTATTTTCGCTCTTTGTTTTACTCAGTTATTTTTGTCACTCTTTTTTTTTTTTTGTTCTCTTTTTTTTACACTCAGTTAACTTACTGGCTATGATCGAATCTGATGGGGATTGCCTACGTATCATGATGCCGCAAGAATCAGATCTTGCGTAGTTTGGGAAGATTGAGAATGGAGTAAATAAGCTAACTCTTCTTTCTTTTTTTTTTTTTGACTTTTATAAAACTCAGACATATTTTTTTGAATTTCGTTTTTTTTTTTTTGAATTTTTGAAGGAAAGACTTTAAAAGAAGAAAGAAAATATTTTTGGCTCTTTTTTTTATTATGCTTTTTTTTTTTAAATGTTTGAAAGAAAGACTTCTAAAGAAGCAAGAAATTTTTTTTTTGGGATTTTGATTTGTATTATTTTTCTTCTTTTTTTTTTAATTTCTAGGAGAAAGATTTCTATAGAATGGAAAAAAAAAATTTATGTTGATTGATTATTGTAGGCGTATAAATTTTATTGAAATTAAATTCATAAAATAATTTGGATTATATTTTAAATTTAAGATAATATTGGTCCAAATAAATATTATGGGCTAATATAATCGAATTAATTATATAAGTCCAACACATATGGGTTAAATAAATAAGTCTTAATCCATTGGGCTAGTCCATTCAATTGGGCTAAAGTGATGAGCCCCACTTCATTAGGCCCAAGATGTCATCTTCCTAGAGGCCCAGTTTGGTGCCACGTGTCAAATGACGTGGCGCGCCAAGTCAAACGGAAGAGCCAATAGGATCATACCACGTGTCAAAATGACAAGGCATGCCAAGTCACACTAAAAGACCAATGAAATCGCGCCACGTGTGCAAGTGACATGTTCTGGCCAATCAAATGCGGCCATGTCACACTTCAATTTGATTGGTCGGAAAGAGTTTGTTCTTATCACAACTCCTCCCTTCCACAACTATAAATAGGGGTCTTCATAACTCAGAAAAGGGACCGGGAGTTATAACAAGAAGCAAGAGAGAGCTCGTGGTTCAAACACCGCAAATCCCTCCATAAGTTTCAAGCTTCAAGCAATCAAGTTCAAGTTCAACAAATCAAGTTCAAGCTCAAGAACGAAGAACAAATCAAGTTCAAGCTCAAGAACAAAGAACAAATCAAGGTTCAAGGAGTGCGAGTTCAAATCAAAGTTCGTGCAAGTTGAATTCAAGATCATCGTTCGAGGCAACAAACATAGATTCAAGATCAAGCTCAAAGGCCCTTGAATTTATTTACTATTAAAAAGTAGAATCAGAGGAATCATAGAGATTGTAACATTCAAATATTCGAAATAAAATACTACGATTGTTGCAATATTTTCGGTCTTGATTTTATTGTCTCGACGCAAATTTATTGTCTACTGATCACGCCCAACTATGCCTTATAAAAAGGACTCTACGGACGTTGCAAATATAACCCGAGTATTACGCCCAGGGTCGGATCCACAGAGAGTTAACCTATCAACCGCTATCTTCAGACCCACTAAGTCTTCAGAACCAGCTTCTCAAATATTCAAATTCTCAGTTAAGTGTTCTTTAACAACTAGCTTGCAAGTAACTAAATGGCTGTAACTAAATTAATAAGGTTGTAAACAATTATGAGAAAAAGCTAAGGCAATGATTTCCCCTATTGATGGAATCCCTTCTGTTTATGCTCATACAAATTTACCCACACATCTCTATCAATCATGAACGCTAATCTTACTGCAAATCTCTCCCGAGTAATCACAGTAATCTACTATTGCACTCTTCCGAGATACACTAGCTTACTTTATTTAGCACAATTCACTTTAGATTACACCCAAGGCTTCGTTATCCCTAATCCCGCCTTTAAACCCGCAATCATAGATTCCTTTAATAATCTAGGAGTGGTGTTGTTCAACAATACCCTAAATATGCACTCTTTTCCAAGTTATGCACACTAAATAAGCACAGCTAATTGAGGATCCTGTCAATTAACTACAACGAACACGAAGTTGAACAAATAAAGATTAAACTAGCAATTTGTATTCACATAAACAAGAAGTTCATCACCCAATAGGTTCCATCAAAGCCTTAGACAAGGAATTTAGCTACTCATGGCTATGGGAAAATAAACTAAGATTGAATTCATCATAAAAATCAAAAGAAAAAAAAGAAAGATGTTTAGAGTCTTTTCTCACAATGGTTTTCCTTGCTAAGAAACCTAAAAAATCAATACATGCCTCTCTTGGGCGAAGTCTAATGTTTTAAATAGGTTTTAGGTCTAAAAATCCCGTAATTGACACTTTGGTCCCTGAAGTTTCTGCGCCTGCCGCGGTTCTGCCGCGGTCGCGGTAGAACCGCGGCCAAACACCCGCGCGGATTCTCACATCTTCTGCAGCTGCTTCCCACCGCGGTTCTGCCGCGGTCGCGGTGGAACCGCGGTGGATCCAGTACTCTGAATTCCTCGGCCTGTTTTGCCTGGTTCACTTGGGAAATTTCACAGTTGGCCTCTTTTTCATCACTTTTAACTCCAAAACTGCTCCTTAGCCTTCCTTATACATATATCACCTACAAATCATGAAAAGCACTAATGAGAGCATTTTGTCATCACTTTTAGCATTAAAACTACACAAGAAGGTGATTATTTAAGGTGTGATTATAGTCAAATTCACCTATTATCATCTACAATTATTTTTGAATGAAAGACTTCTAAAAATTCTTTTTCTTTTGTTTTGAACTTTGGGAATTTCAAAAGTAAAAAGAAAATATTTTTATTGAATTTCCATTCGTTTTGTCCTTTATTTTTTAAGAAGAAAGAAAATATTTTTGGATTTTGAATGTTGCCTCTAAATTTTCAAAAGAGGAACTTTAAAGGAAGACTTCTAAAGAAGAAAAAAGAATATATATTTTTTTGGATTTTTATTTCTGATTTTTTTTTTAATTTTTGGAAAAAATACTTCTGAAGAAGGGAAAAACATTTTTTTTTTTCTTTTAGCAAATAGACTACTAGGTTATTCACCTAGTAGTTCTTATATAGATAATAATTCCCAAATCAGGTCAAAGTTACACAATGTTCGAGTTTAACAAAATGAAAAACATAAAGTCCACGGCTATTGTTACCAAATACAATGTAGCAGTAGCATGTAAACAGCAGCTAAAGCAAATCTAGTAATTTGAGCCATCCAATTGTTGCTGACGACGATGAATTTACACACCACTTGCAACCAGCTGTTGTAGCACCTTCAAAGCTCTCACCAGGCGCCATTTGTTGCAATCCAAGAGGAATAGTATGTATAATTCACAAGTTCTAAAGCAAATCAAATTGGACATAATAAATTTTTGGTCTGAAGAACTCCAGAAGTAGAATCTTCATTTTTTGTTTGATTGAATGTGTGAAGCTCAATGTCTAGCAGCAGCAATGAAGTTCTGCAGCAGCAGAATCATAACCCAGTGGAGCATCAGAACATTTGCAATAATCCATTAATATCAGCTGTAGGAGCAGTAGTTGCTGCATAAGAGTAGCAGTAGATGTATTTGCAACAGTAGCAGCTGGATAACTTCATCAAAGGGAATCTGACCATTGAGCCTCCTTTGCATCTGATACAAAGCCATCTATGTAGGAATCTCCATTTCCCAGTATAAATATAGCAGGTCTCGAACCAAACCCATAATGAGCATGGTAACATGCTAATACCACTGGGTATTGAGTCAATAAGATTCCAACATTTACTACCTTCTTGATAACAGTAGCATTTGACATGTTTTGGGCAGCAACAGTTCTTGTAGATGTAGCAGCACAATATGATTTGTGTTTCTGAAGTCCAATTGCTGTGTTTCTTAGTTCCAAGTGAAACTGGTACATTGATTTGATCTTGATCACTTAAGCTCGGCAAGTAGAATTACAGCAGCAATTGTACTCGTGAAGCATAACAGCAGAAGCATTAGTATCATCTGCAGCAGCAGAAGTATAACAGAATGAGGCATCAGTTAGCTCTTAAGGAAGCATATTCTAGCAGCACCACAGAGATGACTGCTGCTTTCTATTTTCAAATGCTACCAAATAAAAGCTGCAACAGTATGAGGTTTTGAAACTCCATATCATCTTAATATCTCTGTAGGAATTTGCTACCCTATTTCCAGAACCTGCACAATGCAGAAAACATGTTAGGAGAACAAATTTTACTTCCAGATGCTTGTGTGTTCTGGAAGCATTGATTATTATTGGGTTTGGATTGTTGTGGTAATGCTGTGGGATTCATGATCTCTTCTCTGAATCCAAGTAATCTTTGATAACCTTCATATGGAGCAGCATTATATTAGTTCCAATTGACAGCATGTCAAGTATTGGTTCCATCTGGACAATGTGTGTCATAGTACAGGTGCTCTGTTTCTTGCCAATCTAATCCTTAGATTTGGTAATTGACTCTTTTCTTGATTGATTAGAGTTTTACCAGCACTGGGAAATTCATTGAATGATTCAAATTCAACAGGACCTTCAGATGAGAACGCCATGTTGACAAGATAATCCGCAACTGCATTGCCTTCCCTGAATACGTGCTGAAATATCACATTGAATTGGTCTTTGATTTCCTTAATCTTCCTCAGTTCTTTGCAAATACTCCAGTTCATCAATGGTCTTTTTCAAAATTAGTGAGTCAGTTTCAACAATGAGTGGATGCAATTGATTTCTGAAACAGTACGACAGGCCATCAAGTACTGCCTTAGCCTCATCTACCATGTTTGTTGCGATCCCTATCTGCTCAGCTTTTGCATAGACCACATCTCCCGCAGAATCCCTCACACAAAAACCGTATGAACTTGGTCCTGGATTTCCTCGAGATGCCCCATCGGTATTGCATTTAAACCATCTCACATGTGGAAGCTGCCACATCACCCTTTTTGTAATAACTACAGGTTTATAAGTTTCAAAAAACTTAATCTTATCTGGCCAAAGAAAAGGGATATTGGACATCCAATTGTACCTAACTTTAGCAAGATAATGCAGTGTGTTATTAACCTCATGCACCACTCTGTTAGTAGACGCATTTTTACCTCCATGTTTTATTGAGTTCCTTGTTTTCCAAAGTTCCCAAGTGATAATTTCTGGTGCTGCTTGGAAAAGTGGTTTTAGCTTTGGACAACAGTTAGCATTCCACCATGCTCTAGTCACTTGATGAAGCTGTATCAAGTTTACACTTATTCCAGCAGCCTGCATGAATACCTTCCACACTGTAGAGGCAGTTGTACTTGTGAGGATAATGTGGTTGATAGTTTCTTCCTTAGGTGGAAAGAAACACCAACTTTTTGACACAACTTGATATCCATTTCTCCTCCATAAGTCATCTGTTGGCACCTTGCGTCTCCATAATCTCCATAGGAAAAAAGAGATTTTGAAGGGTAATCCTTTTGTCCATATTGATTTTTGTTCAGGATTTGCCTGTTCTCTATGCTCAAGTTGTGCCATGCACTCCCAACTGTAACTTACCTGTTGAAGTTGGCATCCACATAGGTGTGTCCCAGTAGTCATCTGTATTTTCAAAGTGTACCTCTTGTCTGATGTGGTCGGCTATATCTGCTGGGAATGTTTGATCTAGCAGATGATCATCCCAACCATTTTCTGTTCGTATGTCTGACACTTCTTGTAATTCTTCATTGATGTCGAATTGTGGTGGCACTTGATGATATAGAGGTCCAATTCCAGTCCAATTTTCGTGCCACACATTTGTTGAACGCCTTTTTAATTGCCACAGTATTTCATGCTCGACCTCATCTCTTGCTTGTAACATTTTCCTCCAAACATGTGATCCCTTCCGAAATTGCACCACAGTAGGAATTTACTTCTTGCAATATTTATTCCACATGAAATTAGACCACAATTACTTCGATGTTCTGAATTTCCACCACAGTTTTGCGAACAGTGATTTTGAAACATTAAACAGTGATCTGAACCCCAATCCTCCTTCTTCATTAGGGAGACACAAGTATAGCCATTTTTACCAGTGCCTGCTTTTGCCTTCCTCATTGGAGCTCCAAAAAAATCTTGCAAACATCTTGTGTAAGTGTGTGATAACATTGTTAGGAGGATCCGGAACAGAAAGAATGTGAGTAGGTAAGCTTTGGAGCACACTAGTTATAAGTGTTGCTTTACCTCCAAATGATAGCAGTTTCCCTTTGTAAGAGTGTAGTTTAGCTTTTACCTTTTTTATGAGATCATTGTTGTAATCCTTCCTTCTCCTTTTGTTTGACATTTTTTTTTTTTAATGAAAGGCTTCAAAAAAGAAGGAAAATATTTTTGGGTTTTTAAATTTTTGGATTTTCTAAGGAAAGAATTCTAAGAAGGAATTAAGGAAAGGGAAAAAAATTTCTTTTTGGATTTTTTGGAAAATTGGGGCCGGAACCGATGAGGTTTGCCTACGTATCTCACATCCGATGAGAATCAGACCCGCGTAGTTCGCCCAGTTTTGACGGAACAAAGGAAACATGACCTTTGAAAACATTGGCTTATTTTCTTTCTCTTTTTTTTCGCTAGAGATGAAGGTATGAAGATGTGAAGAACAACTTATGAAGATTTAAAGGATTGATGCACAAATAGACAATTCGAGGGTAACTCAAGAAAGTTCGAAATCAGAAAGTAAAAAGTGAAAAAAGGAAACCGGAGCTTTTATATGAAAGAAATAATGAATGTGTGATTTTTCGCATTCGGTACTTACCGAAGATGGTCAACCAGCGGCTGACACGTGTCCGAAGTCAGAGCAACGCGACTGATGGGATGTTTCGGCTCGTCAACTTACTTATGGCGTACGAAGGAAGGAACTGGGGTCAGTTAGTCACTTCTTGTCGTTTCTATAAGTCTACTCTCCGAGAAGTGAGAGGACTATCTGTATACGGATAAAATCGGAGATAAAGTTGCCCCCAATTTCCCGATGAAGAAACGAGAGACTACGTGGTTCGACGCTGGCTCGGGTAAAGCCGAGGGCTCCCAGAGAACAGAGCCAGGGGGAGGGGGGAGGGGGGGGGAAGGGGGGGACGAATGACACGTCAAGAATCGAGTTCAAGCAAAATAATGAATCAAGGTTAAAAGGGAAGACAGTTAGAGAGGACAAACGAGGGGCCAAAATATCCGCCATCAACCGGATATTACGGCACGAATCTCGCGATATCAACTGCGGATCATGTTTTACTAGAAGAAAAGGATTTTTACATTATTTAGACTTCTACTAGGATTGAAACTCCCCTACTATATAAAGGGGAGAACCTTTTTATTTTTTAACTGTTGTTGGCACGCATATCAAAGCAATAAAGTTTACTTTTGTCTTTTGCAATTGTTCAAAGTGTTCTTCAGTTATTATCTCATTCAACTGAAATCGAGCTCCGTTTCGAGGGATCAATTGGGACCGGTTTTAACGTTCAAGTTAGACGTCAGGCGTAACTACTTCTTAGTGTTTGGTTTAATTGTTTTGTTTTCTTTTAATTCAATTATTTGTTGTTCTTTGATCATTCATGTTGAATTAAACCGCATACAAATTTAATTGTTACTCATCTTAAGGGTAAACAATAACTAATATATATATATATATACTTTGCCATAACCGCACCCTATGTGAACTCTTTGAATTTTGATTACATAGAATTTCTTTTGACAGAAAAACAGTACAGCTTTGAAGTCTCTTTCTCTTCATTCACGTGCAACAACGTGATTTTTGCAAAATGAGTACAAGAGGGAAAGAAATAAAACCAGAAATAAGTATTGTAGATTCGAGGTTTATTTTATTAACCTTCTGGTCCTTTCTCTTCTTGTTGTTTCTTGTTCCAAACTTCGGCCACCAACTGTCATGACTCCTGTTTTGACATTTCGTATACGAGAAGTTTCAAGGATAGAATATATGACTAAGATTTATGTCACACACAGATATTGATTTATTTTTTATTTTTTATTTTTTTTGGGACAAATGCTAACTTACTATTCTTTAAATAACATTTGGTATATTTGGAAGAAAATTTTCATTTCGTTAGCAAAATGTTCGAACTGCATATGCTCTTTTCTTTTCAAACTTCAGCCAATAATATCCAAACGCTTACTATGGTTATGTAGAGCCACTGAGTCGAACCTCCATCCAACATTGTCGTCTTTGTTTTCATGATAGCCCATGTCTGAATCTCTGTCTATATGTCGAACTCTTAATATTAGACCAACTTAACGATGGTTGTGAAAAATCCTATGTTGATCAAATTGGTAACCGATATTTGACTGAATGGCTATGTTGTGTACTCGTTGTACCATACTATAGCCCCAATTCCAACGTTAAATCGCAAAAATATGCAAACACCAGTATGAAAGACGGACATAGCCAAATTAGTAAGATTGTTAAGGGTTCACCTTGGACTCTCTTTTGAGGAATCTCCTCTTTGACATACATATGTTTTAGAAAGTGTATAGTATAGTATAGAGATAAATACGAGATTTAGAACCACTAATTTATCCTAGAAGACAAAATATAGACATTGGAATGAAACATATCACATTGAAGTAAAATGAATATAAAAAGCTTATATAGCTAACACCCCAAATAGTTTGGCGATTGAAAACATACTCATACTAGCTTATCTAGCAACGTCAGTTTTAGTCTTGAACTAAGCCCACTAGTAATGTCACTTTGTGTCTTTTCATGAGATGAGGGTGTGTTTTACATTAGCTATCCTCCTTATTTTGTGTACTAGGGTATAGTTAAGTTCCAGCAAATCATACCAACACAAAATGTACTTTACAAGAGTAACCATAAAGCTAATTAAAGCAAATCCTTAGCTAAGCATTCTGCATATAACATTCAGCATTTCTGTTAATTAATCAAGGATTCTGCATAAGGAATAAAGTCAAGCTTAAGCTTTCTGCATAGAATATATCAAAACAAAAGAGAAAAGTTCACGCCTTTCGTGCATTAGATATCAATGAGCACTGTAACAACACATTTCCTTCCAAACCAGCCACCCATAAGAAAAGAATCATTAATCCCGCAGTAAAGCCAATTACAAGAGTAGACTACAACTAAGTCGCATTCCTTCTGCTAGGCATGTCAATCAAACATGATGGACACAATTATTTGTGAGCTACAGCTGAGGGGTTTCAGCCTTTCAGGAAAGAAAAGTAGACTACAAAAATGCATAGCCTAACGAAGCATAATTTAGTTTTCAAATACTTTAGGATTAACTCAGTATCAAACCAAATGTCTTGTTCATTATCATTCCATAACAACCTTTGCTCCAACAGTTTTCATCTTCTCAATGATTTGTTCTCCTTCTTCTTTTGACACCCCCTTCTTAAAAATAGCAGGAGTCTTTTCGACTAACTCCTTCGCTTCCTTGAGTCCCAACTCAGTACAACTGCGGACCTCTTTGATTATCTTTATCTTTTGAGCAGCATCAAATGATTCCAGTTTAAGTTCAAAAACAGTTTTCTCTGGTTTCTTTTCTTCCTTGGCTGCTTCCGGTCCCTTCATAGCTGCTGCTGCCAATCCAGCAGCTCCTGCCTTCATAACACCGACCATTGGTTGCTCAGTCATACCCAACCTCTTCATAATAATGGAAGACAGTTCTGCAACTTCAACCAATGTAAGTCCCGAAACTTCATCTACAAGCTTCCATACCCTCTCGGATGGAGGACTACGATGCTCAGTAGGATCAAAAGTTGCAGGATCATAATCAGCCGGAAGCTTTCTCTGGTCAATCTCTACTTCTTCCTCGTCTTCCTCCTCTTTCCTGGCAGGCTGAGAAAAGTGTCGAGTAAACACAGATGAGGTAATGAAACAGGAGTCAGCCACATTCGATCGAACCGATTGTCTCAAGAGTACACCAGGCAAACGATGCCTCAAACGTGAAATCAAACTCATTTCTCAATTCTGCTATACAGGGAACTAAACTAGAAAGCAACCATCTATCTGATTCCGAAGAAAGGTCAATCAATAGCCTGTGAAGACCAAAATGAAAATTTTAAAATCATATGCGAGTATATAACTATTCCACTTTCAGACCATATAGTGGCACTACTAAAGGATCAAAAAGAAAAAGTAACAAGTGTCACATTGTGAATGAGAAACAATTTAGTAAACGCACATATTATACACAGTTCAATACCTTATATAGACATTACACTAAGAATGTAATTTCTTCTGAAAATCATGGCAGAAAGAGGCTTAATGAGCAATTTATTTTCAGGAGGGTCCAGAGAAATGGCAAGTTTTTTTCTTGTTATGAAAGGGGAAAGGGGCAACTCTGCATAGTGTGCACACCTATGTACCATCTAAGTTGTTCGGACACGGGTGCGGGTGTCCAACACGGGTGCTGATCTAGAGGACGGATCCTTCGAGATGTAAATTCTAAGATTCGGAGATATGGATCCTAGTACGGATATGGGGGGATCCGGCTAAAAATAATTCAAAAAACCTAAAATATAAAAATATCTCTAAGTTATGGTCGGGTCACATGAAATGCACACCTGAATTGGGATTTACATATCGTGACCATGCCACGGGAACTGTACCCATGGCCACGATAATTTATTAATCGCGCCTAAAGCAAGCTACGATGTTCATTAATTATTTTCCTAAGGTTTTGAGAATTTTTGTAAGGTCAAGAGTTATGAATATTGGATTGTTGTGGAGAAGATGTATAATTTTAAGTATTTGGATTAACAAAATTATATTCTTTCAATTAACGATACTAGTGGCCTATTCCTGACGAGTGAAACACAGCAGTAAACATTTTGGAACCCAATCCATTTATTTTGTCCATA